TGGTAGATAGATGAATATAGAAACTAAAGTGGTTAAATAAAGAACCTACAGGCAGGTTTCAGATATAACAACTAGTATAGAACTTCAGGTAGACTACTTAAATTAGACAATGACTAAAGTTGTACAAGTAGCTAGTTGTATACTCTTTTTATAATTGCTTTCTGTAGTTATAATGCAACTATTAGCTAAATATACTATCAATAAAATCCTGGGTCACAAATACTTATTTTAATATTTAAAAAAAAAAAAAATTATATTCAATATTTTTAAACTTTTTTATAAAAATTTTTTTAAACATTATATAGTAAAGTAGATTTATTAAGAAATTCCTTTCTGGTTTTTGTTAATGATAGAAGCAAAGAAATATCCAAATTGGTAAATTTATTGAAGAAGTTTATAAAAGTTTTACTAGCTAAATTTGAAAGTCAATACTTATTAATTATCTCTATAAATTTGTAATAAGTATCATTAGGCCATTTAATATTTTGTAAGTAGTATAAGTTATTAAAAGCATTATCAAACAAAGTTTTTTTAAAATCTTTAAGGTCAATTTCAACTAATTTATTAATAACATCATCTGATAAAGTATCTTTATAGTCTTTAAAATTACTTTTATTAGACATATTTTAAGATACTTTATCTTTTATTATATTATTAATTGAAAAATGTTCTATTTTTATATAAAAAGACTTATTCAGAATTAATTTAGATTGGATTAATATATTTTTACTCTATATAAAACATTATCATTATATAATGCTTTATAACAATTAAAAATATGTAACTATTTATCTTATATTTTGTAGCAAAATCACTAGAACTATATTCTAAAAGATTCCAAATATTATTATTATTTAAGTATTTTATAGAAACTGTATTATTTGTAAAACTTTAAAGATAAGGATGACTTTGTAAAATATGTTATACTAATATAAATAATTTTGAAAATTCTTAATTACAATGCTTATACTACCAACATATTTTTAAAAAAAAAAATAAATAAAAAAAAAAAAATATAAAAAAAAAGAAAAATATAAAAAAAAAATATATATAAAAAAAGAAAAATATAAAACATATACAAAATACAAAAACTCTTTTTGATGATCACCTAAACCAAGTTGGCACCAAAAGTAGATTGAAGATTCTGGCTCCAAAGTAGATAATATACTTAGTTTTATATTAATTAAACTTGCTATTGACAAAACTCAAGTATGTGATATGTGATATACTGAAAAGCAAACAAAACTTAAGTAGTTCTTGCCTTAGGTTAAACTTTTTGTCTGATGAACTCTCTTGCATATTTGGCATCCAAACTGAAAGGATATTCTGAAAGCAAGTAGAGACAAAATCAGTTCTCTGATTAAAAATATTAGAAGCAGAAGAAAAAGAAAAACAATTAGAAAAACTCTCCTTAACTTAGACTCTTGCAACAATGTTATACCTTCTTTTTATTATTTTTTTTTTGAAAAGCAGAGATTTGGCTCACTTCTAGCAAAAGATTAACATTGTGCATTACTTTTTTTTGCAGTTATATGCTTATTTGGACATAGTGAATAAGGAACACAACAAACACATAAGTCAGCCAATCATATGAAGCAGATCAAAAAAGAATTTAATTTGGAAAGACCAAAAATATATTAAGATATACATATATTCTGAAGTCATGTGCATAATATTTTTAAAAAAAATAGTTACAGAGATTTATGAAGAATTGAATTGCTTAAGTGCACTCTAAACCTTGGCACAGTACCCTATCTACTTAAAGAATTCTCCTATATAGAAAGTGTCTGGTTTGAACTTCATCCTACAAGTAAATACAGTTTTTATTCTAGTTAAGAGTATCTAGTTTTTAGAGAATAGTCATAGTTCATAAAATGATAAAAACATTGTAATAAGTAGCAATCATAGAATAGAGTTTTATTCTGTTAGCAGATTTCCTCTTTTATTCTTTTTATAGATTAGTTTCATTTTCTTTTTGTTAGTTTTATTTTTCTCTTCATTTTCATTCCTCTCTTTTCTAATTTTAAAATTATTTTCTTTTTTTTGTTTTTCTCTTTTTTATAAGAAGATGTTTCCAGATTGGTGGTATTCTATTGTAGAGCGAGAGTCAGACAAGTCATAATTTCTAGTCCTAACTGAATTAGTGCAGCAGATCACATTTAGATACTATTTGGGTAGCCAGATGATGGTAGACTTATAAGTTAAATAATATTCTGTAATTTCATATATAGCTACAAATAGTTTAATAAAGTACTACTGTGACTGTTTAAGAGAAAATATATATATATATATATATAAAAACTAAAAAGATATTAAAAAATAATCATTAAAAATTAAAAAAGAATTAGAAATGAATAAGAAAATATAAATATAAAAATAAAATAGATATATTTATTAAATGTTTAAAATATATATATTAATCAAAAAGATAAAAACAAATATTTATCAAATATAAAAGATAGAATAAGATATATGTATTAAATATAAAACTAGAATATAGATTTTATATAGAAAGAGCACCTAAAAATAAAAGAAAATAATATAAAAAAATATTATAAAACAATATATATGAATTATATTAATATATATTATTAGATATTTCTTTGCTTATTTTATTAATATAATAATTATTTATATAATATAATATTATGCTTTATATTATCAATTATGAATTTTAATTTTGTAATAAATTTTAGTAAAATCTATATAAAATATATATGATAAATCTCAAATACAATATAATAATAAAACTTGGCAAATTGTTATTATAAGCATTACAAGTATAATGACAAAACAAGATAAGTATTTATTATTGATATTTTTTATATTTTATTTTTTATCATTAGATTTTAACTTATATTTTCTATTTATAAAAGTTTTATCAAAATATAAATATAAAATTTTTATTATTTGTAAAATAAAAAAATTTTATTTTTTTTTTAAAAAATTTTGAAATAAATACATTAACTAATATTGATTTTTTTCAATCAATGCATTTATTTTAACAATCTTAATTAACTAATATCACTTCTTTATCACAACAATCTCAATCAACTAATATTGCTTCTTTCTCTTAATAACTGCTTTACCTAATATTGATTTCATCTTTCAACAACTGACTTTATCTAATATAGGATTTGGAATCATGAAAAATTATGTTGGCAATTAATCATGTTGCCTAATTAGAAGTTATATAATTAATTATGAATAATCATATAACTGTTTATTAATTACATAACTGTTTATTAATTATATAACTGTTTATATTTGCTTAGCTGTTTAATTGTATAACTGTTTATTAATCATCTAACTATTTAATCATTTATTAATCATTTAATCATATAATCATTTATTAATCACTTAGTTGCATAACTGTTTATTAATTGCTTAGTCATTTAATTGAATAACTGTTTATTAATTGCTTAGCATTTAATCGTATAATTATTTATTAATCACTTAGCTATTTAATTATTTAACCATTTATTAATCATATAACTGTCTTAACTACTTATAGTAATAATCATTTAACTGTTTAGTTATTTTATCTATTTATTAAATAAATAAATAAAATGACTAAACAGTTAAACAATAAATTTTATTGTTTAACTGTTTGGCTGCTTTAACTGTTTATCAATTATTTAATATTATTTTAATGTTTAACTATTTAACTATTTATTAATTATTTAATAATCATATCAATATTTAGTAGTCAACTGTATTCATATAGTAATAATTATTAAGATCCAATATTAACAATGTCTAAAACTTGTATGTTATATTATGTTAGAAAAGATTATTAAAAGTAAAATAAAAATAAAAAATATTATTATTAAACTGCTAATGCTAATTATAATTCAATTTATTCAAATTTCAAAGTTAAAATTTTATAGCAAAATGTACAAAAAAAAAAAAATTGAAATGCTAATGCTACCTATATTTCATGTTTAATAGCATATAAATTTTCTATATTTATCTTTTTTGATCCTTTTGATGATATCACCATAATGAATATACTGTAATGACCAATTGCATATTATACAATTTAGAATAGAATTTTGAATAATACTATTTTTTTATTAAAAAAGCCAAGCTGCAATTTTTATAAAAACTCTTTTCAACTAATTATCTCATTCAATAGGATTATATCTGCTACAGCACTTTTAACCTTCATAATTACAACAAAATGTATTTGTTTATAGCAATTTCATAGTATATTCTTCTAATAGATATAAGCAATAATATACTTTTAATAATAATGACTATTCTGATGTCTTTGTATTTATCTTTTTCAGCCTAGATATTGTAGATTTTTTTTTATTTTTATTTAATTAAGCCTATTGCAAATAACATAAAGAAGAATTACATATGAAAAAGAATTGCATGTGAAAAAAAAACATTTGCATTTAAAGTTATATATAAATTTTAAACCTACTTAGATGTTCAGCATTATGCTTAAAAAAGAGAATTTTTCCAATAATCTTTAAACTTAATTATATATATTGGGGAGTAATTAGGTTTCTTGCATCTGAAAAAAGTTTTTCACAAGGAACAAATGTTGCTAGTATGCACAAATATTTATATGCTAACAATGACAAAATTAGAAACTCAGTTTTATAATTATTCTATCATTGCCAAGGATTGGCATTATAATTAATAGGGATAGTCTTTAGATATTGTGCCACCTTATCTAAAGACATATCTTCATGATTTTAGTAACTATTGGTGTTGATGTTTGTTGCTCTAATTGATTATTGCTAGTAATATTAAAATGTAAAATTTCAAATTCATTTCTTAATTTTGATTCAGCCTTTTCTTGTTCTCTATTTGTAAATGCAGATATTTTTTTGGTTCAGAGGTCTAAAAGGATAGCTACCAATTCAGCTTTATGAAAATCATGCCAATATTTATTCAAAGAGTTAGAAATAACAATTTTAAATTGCTTTTCTATTTGATCAAGATCAAATGGTGATAATGAAGCATGTAAATGAGTGTTGTCATCTTTTTCAAAATCTAATATCATATCTAATTAATTTGAAAGAAAGTTATAAATATATATTTAACTTCTTATTATTGCATAATATTTAATTGTTACATTATTAATATTACAAAAATCATATTAGATGCCAATATTTACAAAAGTTCAGAAGTTATAATAATGACATTGTTGCATAATATGATAATTAATATCACAGATCATAATAAAACTAGATTAAAATAAAATAAGAGTTTTTATTTAACTTTCTAAAACCTATTTATACTTTCTTATTATAAACACTATCCTAAAACTAACCTCTAATTCTAACTTTAATTGTAAAAAGTGCATCTTAAAAATTTTTATTTTTCAGCAGCTTGTCTATTTCTTATATTGTACAATATTTTATTTTGATCTAATTTCATTTTAATCTGTCACAATTAATATCTAAAACTTGCTAGTAATTAACAGTTAACATTACTGCATTAGTAATTATAATGATATTAATCAGCAAACTTTAAGGGTAGAGTATATGTAGATCATTTTTTATATGATCTTTGTGGTACAATATAATTTTTATAAAAAATAAAGCT